ATTACTTAATAGGCAGGCAGGAAGGGCGCAGAAGCTCCACTGTTGAGTTTTATTAGATGAAATACTGAGCCATGGGCCAGGAAGAACCATGTAGATCTCATTTGTAAAACATCTCCTGTTGTTTTCTAAAAGTTTTGTTGTAGAGTGCAGAGAGCGAGATGTCACGTTCGACGTAGAACTCTCTGACAGCGCTTCTGGGGAGGCCATGAGGCAGATGTTCTCAGAGCTGGTGTGAATTCTGGGTTTGCTTTTGAACTTGATTGAACAAATTTCTGAGTTTCTCCAATCTTTACTCTGGTGATTTAAATGAGAAATGTCCTCTATGGTCTCAAGCATTTGGATGCTTGGGCCCCAGTAGATGGTGCTGTCTGAGGAAGTCTAGGACGTACAGACTTGCTGGAGAAAAATCTGTCACTGGGGATAGCTTTGAGAACTTAAGGCCTCGCCCACTTGGAGTTTGCCCTCTCTGCTTCCTGCTTAGAAAGAACATAAGCTTCAGACCTTATTTTGCTGCCATGCCTGCCTCTTGCTGCTTCCCCACCGTGGTGAAGCATCCAGGCAGGCATGGTGCAGGAGGAACTGAGAGTTCTACACCTCCATCTGAAGGCTGCTAGCAGAATACTGGCTTCTAGGCAGCTAAGATGAAGGTCTTAAAGCCCACACCCACAGTGACAAACCTCCAACTGGTTTGTTACTTCAACAAGGCCACAACTACTCTAACATGGCCACACCTTCTAATTGTGCCACTTCCCGGGGCTGAGCATATACAAGCCATAACAGCTCTGTTGTGGTATTTTATTACAGGAACAGGAAATAATAAACTCTGCTTTCTTACCTATGGTGCTGAGGTGACCACACTGAGAGCACAGTGAGAGAACCTGTGCCTCGCTCGCCATCTTCCAGCATCCCTTCTACACAGCTGCGGTTGAGTTTGCTGTAGTTAGGCCTTGTCCTACATCCTAAACTCTTAGTTCTTAAGTTCAAAAGCAAACCCAGAATTCACACCAGCTCTAAGAACAGTTCAAACAGCCAAGCACATCATCAGACATTTGTGATGCAGTTTAACAGCAGTTAAATGGCATAACTGCCAATTTGGGAAAGTTGGGTAGTGGTGCTCATTTTGATATTTCTTGTGGGCTGGGAATAATAGCTCAGTGGGTAGGATGCTTGGCTAGCATCCATGATAACCCTGGGCTCAATCCTCAGCATCACACACTGGGCTTGTTGATACATACCTATAATCCTAGCCCTCAGAGGTGGGGGCAGGAAGATCAGGAGTCAGGAAGGTCAGCCTTGGCTGTCTATTAAGGTTGAAGCTCTTGAGGACTCTATGAGACCCTGCCGCAAAACCAAAGAGAACTGTGTAATGGTGTGTCTTGTGGTCATTTACCCATAAGTGAACACTGAGCCTTTGTATTATTGCCTGAAGCTCATTAAGCTTTGTATTATTACCTTAGGCTTATTGCAATGTATGACGTGATGTTTGTCATCCCTTCAAGAGCGTGCTGTAGAGACACAGCCTTCCTTTCCATGATCATCATCAGTAATCTGCTCCAAGAGACTAAAACTATCCCAAGGACATGCTGGATCTGAGTTCATAGGGTTATAAAATTACAGTGTTTAGGAACAAAGAGTGTTTGCCAGCCCCAAGGAGACAAGCAAATTTCCTTCCCTCCCAGTATGCAGGGTCTTAAAGGAAGAAGCCAGGCTAAGAATTGAGCCCAGCTTAGCATGACAGACAGCACTCTGGCCCATGAGACAGTGTGCTCACACTTCAGCATTTCCTTTCTTACATCATAAGGCCAGTTCGTGCAAACGAATAATCATGAAATCCTAATTCACAAGATGTTAAGGTCACTTAGGAGTGCTGTGACAGTCGTCCAGTGGCCCATCACTGATTTAAAATGACATGCAGTCATCATAATGCAGCCAGTCATGCTGAGCTTGACAGAAGCTCTGTGTTCAGATCCGTGAGATGTCATGTTTAGTGGGGAATTGGCAAGCATGCTTCCTGGAGGGTGAGGTTTTGCCTCTTCCTCTGGTGACTGCACTCACTGTGAAGGGATGAAGACACCTCAGGCCTGTCATAGCCTCCCCCTTCCTTTGTCAGCTTCATGCAGTGTGTCCCCAGTCTCTGCTCACATATCTTTCTGAGAGCCGAGCCATCTCCATACTCTTGGCTCCTAACCAGGTAATGAAGTCTAGTCACACACAGGCGATGGCACTCTAAATGCCCCTGTGCAGGAAGGCCAGCCTTGGTGCCTCACAGGGCTACCTAAGTACTTGTCTCTCAGGCAGACTAACTTCATTGTCACTTAAGACGATTCACACATTTTAAAATTTTATTTTATTGTCTTATATGTCTGAGTGTTTTGCCTGCATGTTTGTCTGCACACTACTTGTGTGCAGAGGCCAGAAAAGGAGATCTGATCCCTTTGAAATAGAATTATAGTTATGAATCATGATGTGTGTGCTGGGAATCAAACCCAGGGCCTCTGGAGAAGCAGCTTGTGTTTTTAACCACTGAATGCTCTCCAGCCCATCACAGTTTAAAAGGAGTAGCTGAGAGCTGAACAGGAACAGTGTAGCAAAGACACCTCTTTAACCCTGCCCCGGTCAGTTCTCAGAGTCTTAATGCACCAGAGGGAAATCACAGCCATATTCTGAATCTCCCTTGTAGGTTTTACCAATACTCCTTCATCTAGCCATTGATAATACTCTAGGAGTAATCCCTGGGATACAGGTAATTAAGAGACTTGGTTGCATTAGTTCATAAAGAACTTGAAGCATTAGTTTAACATGTACACTATAAAACAGTATGAGAGGAATATTTGCATGTCCCAGGAAGACACAACAGAGCCAGGAAGTTATCCAGTGAGGTCAGTGCAGCTTCCAGAAGTGGTGTAATGGGGACATCAAAGCAGGACAGGCATTAGATTGTAGAACATAGCCTCTCACTCAAAGATCCAACTGCCTCTGCCTTCCCAGCTCTGAGAAATTAAAGAGTGTGTCACCATGCCCATCTGGAATGTCCCTTTTTTAAAGTCTTTGCTTTGGAGCCTTTCAAGTCAGTGATGTGGGAGTCTGAATTTACATAATCAGAACCTAGTATAGATTGCACAAGGCAGAGTATGGTGGTGTGATTCTTGCCGTTGCGGGGATGTGACATATATTGTAATGGCACAGGATTGTGTTTAGATCCACAGAGACTGTGAGCTTTGGGCTGGGATGTACCTCAGTGGTAGAACACTTGCCTAGCATGGTCAAAGCCTTGGGTTTGACCCCCCACCATTACAAAACAACCAAAAAAGAGGCTCTTGGTTTATTTTTTACTCCGTTTTTCATGTTTTCTTTTGCATCTGTCAGGAGTGTGCCCTGCGTCTGTTGGGACTGGCATAGATGAAGCTGGTTTGGGAACCCATTAGCATAGCGAGTTGGATCACAGAGACCCAGCTGCCTATCTTTGCAGCTGGCCTGTCAGAATTACTGTGACAGTCTTTGTCCCGTTTTATCCTGCCTAAAGTGTGTGATTTGTTCTATTCTGAACAGCACTGCCATTTAGGATTTTCACAAATCGTTCTTCCAGCTTGGTACTTTTGCATTCTGCTGAGGAGGAGAAAAGAGGCTAACCTCAGCTACAGTTTCTAAAATCAGCCTGAATGTTCCTCTTGGCCTGGATAAGGAAAGTGATCCACAATGTGCTGTTGCCTTTAGTTGACAGCAATGTCTTCACCCTGAGATGACAAGTAGTGTTTCTGACAGCCTCCACTGAGTTCGACATCTGTTTCTTTCAGCAGGATACATCTCTGGTTTGGGTGAATTTGAAGAGAGAGGAGTGAGGCTTGTTAAGTCACAGGGTGGGCTTGATCAACCCAATGTTAACAGTACACATAGTAAGGCAACAGCAAGATATTTGTTCATGTGTGGAATTAGAGAAGGTTTTGTTTTTCTAAATGTGGTTTCAGTGATAATTCCTACTCTGTTCAGAAATCAACTGATATACTGCTTGCCAGAACGATTATTGGTGTAATTGGGGGTTGGGGTGGGAAGTGTGTGCATCTATTGACATTACATATAAGAAGCTAAACATTAGTCCCAGCACTTGGGAGGCAGAGGCAGGCTGATTTCTGAGTTTGAGGCCAGCCTGGTCTACAGAGTGAGTTCCAGGACAGCCAAGGCTACACAGAGAAACCCTGTCTCAAAAAAACAAAACAAAACAAAAAAAAGAAGCTAAACATTTCATTTTGGCCCAGGACTCTACTTTAGAATTCTATACAAAAGTGTTATGTGGCCAGGGCTGAAGAAGAGGATATAGCTCAATGGTTGAGTGCTTGCTTAGCACGCACAGGTTCAATTCCCAAAGGGGAAGAGAGAAGGGGAGGGAGACCATATGAGCCTAGTTTAGAGATATTTGTAGCTTTATTGCTAACAGAGAATGACTTTTAAACCTTGACACACTTATAATGCTTTAATCAAAAATAATGCCTGGAGACTTTACAACATGAAAAATCCCGTAAGATTCCAAAGGAAACCTTGAAATTAGGCCAGGGATTTTTCTAGTGGCGTCTCTGCCAGTAGTAGGCCAGGAGCAACAAAATAACAAAACTCAACAAGGGGAAATTATCTCAAATAATTTACTTTTTCTCCATTTTTTCCTTCCTTAAGAAATATCAATTTCTTTATTTGTAGAAGATGGAAAATATTAAAAAGAGAGATATAGTATGGGTCTGTGCGTCTAATACAATGTTTCATTCTCTGTTAAAATGCCTTTCGAATTACTGCCATGGTTAAACTGTGCTTTGATTGTCTCCCCCAGCTGTCAGCTAGCCCTTTGCTGAGAGGTCAGAGGACTATCTCTGTCTCATGCTTTTTGAAAGTTGTATTTTGTGCTTTTCACAAAAATTTTATCTATGTTGGGAGTTTGAAACCCATGTAAGGGGGAAATGATCTTGTAGTCCTGGGATGCATAAAATATAACAATGTGCTTATGATTTCTCTTCAGGCATTCTTCAGATCAAAACTAATTGCAGAGTTTCCGGTTGACCAGCATTCATAGGGTAAGATGAACATTTCCAGTGCTGAACACATGGCACAGATTATTACAATTTAGTTGGTAGCTTGGGGCAAAAAGGAATACAGGAAGAGATCACCATGCTTACAGATGTTTTGAGTAAAATTGCTTTGATATTTTTAGACTGATGAGGCAGAAATTTAAATCTGTGTTATTTTAATTAAAATGTCATCTTCCCACCCTCTATGAGTTCTGTAAGCAGAAATGTGTGTGTTTAATTGATTCCTTTTTTTGTTTAATCACTAAAGACTGGTGGACTATAATAATCTATGAGAGATTTAAAGTCCACGCCTGCTTACTTGATCTGGGCATGTTATCCTTTTTGTTGTTCCATTGGTTCATTGGTTATGAGACAGTGTCTCTTGGATGGCAGGCTGATCTTAAACTCACTATGTAGCTAAGGAAGGCCTTGAACTTCTAACCCTCCTGACTCAACCTTCCAAGAGCTGAGATTCCAGATATCACCATGCTTCTATGCCCTGTTGAAAATCAAACCTAGCTCTATGCCTTCTGGGTAGATGCCATACCAAGTGAGCTCCATTCTCAGTTCCCAAGGTTGATTCATGTAACTCATCCGCCATGTTTCTATTCAACTATACCTTTCTTGAGTGAGCAAGTCAGAAGTGTAAACCTGTCCACACTTGCATGCAGAAGACATGAGTCCTTTTCATAACTATGGAAGGTATGCTGTGTTAGCTCTGTGGCAGAGTGTTTGACTTACGGTGCTGGGGGCTGAAATCACTCACTGACTCCAGAGTGGTGAATACAATACCTGCCTTAAAAGTGTCACCCATCTCTGAGCTTGTGATTCAGGATAGATACTCAGTGGTAAAGCAGTGAGCATTCAGTGACGTTTCACACCAACCAATCACAAATCAGCATTCTTGTCCAGGCTGCAATGCAGGTCTCAGAATCCCAGCCTGAGTTGTCCGTGCATGGATGTTTGAAGCAATCTTGTAAAGATGGCCTGCTTCTACTGCACTACTCTCTGATGTTTGCTAATCTCTGGCAACTTCCTTCCTTCCTTCCTTCCTTCCTTCCTTCCTTCCTTCCTTCCTCTTTTAAAAATTAATATATATATATATGTATATATATATATATATATACACACACATATATATATATGTATGTATGTATGTATATATTCTTTTAAGTTTTTTCAAACTTATATTTATTTATTTAATGTATGTGAGTACACTGTAGCTGTCTTCAGAAGAGGGCATCGGATCCCATTACAGATGGTCGTGAGCAACCCTGTGGTTGCTAGGAATTGAACTCAGGACTGGAAGAGCAGTCCATGCTCTTAACCGCTGAGCCATGTCTCCAGCCCTTTAAATTTTATTTTATGTTTATTGGTGTTAGAACTCTTTCAGACAAAGACAAAAATCCACCGAAGTGGGTATGTGTTTCCATGCACTAATCTTTTGAGCCAAGTGAGTCTTGGCTTAAGTTAACAGAGTTTGCGCTCAGGTGCTCCCACCGGCGGTCTCTCTGTTTTTTCTGAGTTGTTTCCAAACTCTGTGCCTTGGCTGCAGGCTGGCTGTCATTCTCTTTGCCCCAATGTTCCTGGCTTTAGCCAGAGTACACCCTTTCTGATCCTCAAACCTCCCAAGCTTCCAGCTTTCTCTGTCTGTAGTGACCTTCCTCAGCTGGGTGACTGACCTCTGACTCTATTTTAATCTCTCTTCTAATGACTGTCCTCCAAAGAAACCGTCCTCCTTGAGGCTTATAGTCTGCACAGTGCTTCTGATCTTGCCATGGCTGTGTGCTTGGTGAGTGTTTCTTCTCTTCCTACTCAGTAAAATACATAAGGGCAGAGACTCATCAACGAAGGGTTGAACCTGGGGCCTTGTACATGCTGGGCATTCTTCCAGTGGGATTCTTTCATAGTTCAGTGTCTGTCGAATGCACTTCTGTTTCCCTAAGACTCAGATGTGTTGGCACATTGCAGGCATCATAAGTATTTGGAGTGTGAGTAGGCCAAGCTCCGAGCTGTCTTTAGTGCTGCTGTGCAGGAATGTTCATCCATTCCCTTTAGGCCTAAGAACATGAAGAGCTTACATAAGAGGCACTCACAGAGTTTACTGGGTCTCTCTCATCCTCCTACTCATTTGGTCCAGGCCACATGGTCTGGAGAAGAGGCATGCCCAACTTTCTACTCTGTGTTTAACAGGATCAAAGTCCTGGGAGAACATTGATAAGACTGTCCTTAGTTTGGCTCTGGTGTGCTTGCTCTCCGTCATTGAATATGCAAATGTTAACATTAGAGAAAGGATTTAAATGAATGGCTACATTAAGATTTAAGGTATACTAGTTGGTCTATCCCAGATCACTAATTGATCTATCCCAGATCACTTATTGGTCTATCCCAGATCTAAAAATTTCTCATTTTTATATTTTAGAATTATAAATGTTTCCTTGAGTATATTTGCAGCTTTGTGTTTCTAAGGAAGACTATTTTTCTTTTAAAGACTTATTTATTATGGATACAGTGTTCTGCCTGCTTGTATCTTGCAGGCCAGAAGAGGGCACCAGATCTCATTATAGGTGGTTGTGAGCCAGCATATGCTTGCTGGGAATTGAACTCGGGGCCTCCAGAAGAGCAGACAGTGCTCTTAACCTCTGAGCCATCTCTCCAGCCTTCTAAGGAAGGCTATTAACAGTGTTTTCAAGCTTGTCCCTGAGCTATAATCCAAGTACTTCTGTCTGTGGAGAAGCAACTCAACTACCCTGAATGGTTTTATTTATTCCATAAAGAGTGAGCTCTGGTTTCTATAGTCCCCGTGACTGCTCTGTGAAGAGTAGGCCATGGTAGAAGAATGAGGTTCCTATGGATGCTTCCTGTCCTCTGTGTGGGAACCTGAGGGGGGAGTATGTGAGTCACAAGAGACTATGGAGGGCCTGGGTGTGGCCCCATTTATTATAGCTTTCTTTATTGTGGGGTTTAGGGGAGTTGGTCAGGAAATGTTTTTTTTAAATACTGAGAAGTGATGAAGGATTTGAGCTTTGCTTCTTACTTACACCATCTCTGTAAAATTATCTACCCACCAGCAACTCCAATAATACAGCTCCACCTCCCGTCATTTAAAATGTGGTTTAGAGTCCGTGTGGTTGTACATAATTATCATCCCAGCATTTAGGAAACTGAGGCAGGAGGATCATGAGGCCTCGATTAGCCTGGGCTATGTAACAAACTCCAAGGCCAAAACCAATGTATTTTAGATTCAAAATGGATGGTATAGTAGCTTACTAAAAGCATTGGCTATCGATAGTTCCAAAATAGATCATTATCATCTAAATTTAATATATGATATGATTAAATAAATTTAATATATTCTGTGCTTGTAGAAACAGATTAAAACAACATTCTTTAACTTTCAGAACAGCTTAGAGCTGGCCATGGTAGAACACAATACTCTCAGCACAAATTTAGGCAGATCGAAGCCAACATAGTCTACACAATGAGTTCCAGGCTAGCCAAAGCTATGTGAGATCCTGTCACAAAAACAAACAAAAACGCCCCGTGTTCATTGGGATTTCAACTTAATTTATTTGTTCAGTACCTTTCTCCTGGGGCTTCCAATGAGTAAAGTGATTTTTATCTAAAAGTTACTTATGATTGCTTAACAAACTCATTAGGAAATTGCCACATGGCCATTTCCTTTCTCCATTTCTTTGTCTGTTCTTTGGCTGATAACAGCTTCTGTCCCTGAAGCTCTGACTTGTGTGCTCACAGAGTATTTTTTTTCCCTACCTTTCCTGATCTGACCACCCCTCCACACCTAGACAACAGTTCTGTTCTGCGCTTGCCAGAGTAAAATAATTCCTCTCAAAGAATTTGTGTCTAGCCGGGCGGTGGTGGTGCATACCTTTAATCCCAGCACTTGGGAGGCAGAGGCAGAGGCAGGCAGATTTCTGAGTTCGAGGCCAGCCTGGTCTACAGAGTGAGTTCCAGGACAGCCAGGGCTACACAGAGAAACCCTGTCTTGAAAAACCAAAAAAAAAAAAAAAAAAAAAGAATTTGTGTCTAAGGCCCTGTTCCTTCCCTGAACAGTCATAGCATACCACAGTGGATTAAAGCCCTGTTACTGTTTTGGGCTAACACCATTTCCAAGGTGGATGAGTGACATAGAGCATCAGAATCTGACCCAAGGCACTTCCTTGTCAATGGGGCTGATTTCCTCTCAGAAATCAGCCCCATTGACAGTCAGCTTAAAGTCTTGGTCATTGGGAAGGCCTCAAGTCAAATGCCCAGGATCAGCAGTGGCCCAGGCACTTCATTTCAGCATCCCAACAGACACCATGTGGAACAGAACTGTGAGAAACAATGAAATGTTTATTTTAGATACTGAGATTTGGGGTTTTTTGTTTGTTTTGTTTTTTTGGATAGACCAATTAACAGTGGCAGAAATTGGTGTCTTGATGTGAGGTACTTCCCTAATGAAATCCATCAAAGGGGCACAGCATACAGCTGGCAGAGAAGACCTTTAAGCTCAGTGAAGATACAGTCTTCCTGGTAGTTGAGGACCAGTGAGGAAGCTGTTACTGGGGGTGTAGATTGCTACCCTCTTTTGTATGGACAGAAAGTTCAACAAACCACCAACATGGAGCACAAGAGTTGGCAGATGAGCTGCAGGTGCGAGTCTGCAGGCAGGTTTTCAGCAGAGCACTGGAGGCTCCTTTTATAGCCACTGCAATCCAAGTGTTGGGAGATAGGTGGATAAAGGAATGTTCAGGTTTTAAGCAGGCTTTAGAAGAAATATTTCCAGTCTAAAATTATCTGGGATCCTTAAAAAAATGATTTTTTTAAAAAATCCCTTGTTTCTGCACCTTACACACGGAGGCTCAAGAAAGAAATTATCTCAGGTCCGAACCTCAGACAAAGGACACCACTGTTTAGCACTCAGTTTCACAGTAAAAATAAAAGGGCACATGTACAAGACCCTCAATCACAGTGACCTCAGAAGTGCTCCTCTCCCTTCTCAACCAGATGTGATGTCCCATAGCATCCTAGACATGATTTAGATGACACAATCCTAGTCTCAAGCCTGAACTTGATGCCATGGTGGGTGAAACTTCTGTAGGAGAGTTAGTGTCTTAGTTAGGCTTCATTGCTGTGAAGAGGCATCATGACCACAGCAACTCTTACAAAGGACAACATTTGATTAGGGCTGGCTTCCAGTTTTAGAGGTCCTGTCCATTGTCATCACGGCAGGGAGCATGCAGCATGCAGGTAGACATGGTGCTAGAGAAGGAGCTGAGAGTTCTAGATCTGGATCAGCAGGCAGTAGAAGGAGACTGTGTCACACTGGACATAGCTTGAATATAGGAGACCTCAAAGCCCACCTCCAGAGAGACACTATCAGCAAGGCCACACCTTCTAATAGTGCTACTCCCTATGGCTAAGCATCCCCACACATGAATCTACATGTGTAGGCTCTACCTAATCAAACCACCACAGTTAGTATGCTTTGCATGTAAAAAAGACACTTATGGCCAGAAGATTGTTGGCACATAGCTGTGCATGTATTACTACAGAAAGGTACAGCTAGCTTCCTCTCCCCTTCTGGGCTAGCCTTGGGACTTCTTCAGTAAGTGGTTTGTTTGAACAGAGAGCTGCATAGGTTCAAGTGTTAGAACCTTACTAGTATATGAGGACATTTTGGACTGGCCAAAACTGTGAAGGAAAAGGCTTATAAAATCTCAATAAATGGACCTTCCTGGGATTTGGGCCATGGAGATACAAAATAGAGACCAGTTAGTGAAAACCCTTCTTCTACCTGTATGCTGCTGAGCCCTCACTCTGCATCCGTCTCCCAGGTTCTATGACTGTGAATGTGACACTATACACAAGCATCTGAATGTTTTCCCCATGCTTGGCACCTGCGTATTAAGATATCTTAATGTGTTAAAACTGTAAGATCCTGTAGTGTCACAGGATCAAAATGTGAATTCATTTGATTTCATTTTTTTCTGAACATCTGTCCGAGCTTACTAGGTCCTAATAAATTTTAACTCAGCTGATTGTGTTCATTATCTTTCAGTTACTATGAAAAAGTTCTTAGGATAATCAGTAACTAAACTGGGGTCATACTTCCGGAAGTTTCAGTCCCTGGCTGGTGGTCCCACTGTTTGGGACCTCTGGTGACCCAACATGCCTGGTCATGCATAGGAGACTGTTGTGGAGGAAACTCTTGCTTTCCATGGTTTGCCTGAGATCGGGAACCCAGACCTTGCTTTCTCTCTTGAGGCCTTTGAAGTAGCTTCAAGTTCTCAGCATCTAATGACTCAGAATGCTTGTTTATTTTCGCTAGTTATTTTGGAAATGATTTCAAAGTAAAAGAAGGACTACTGGGAAATCAAGATGCCTAACTTGAGTGTTGTTATTCCCATCTTAGACACACTGGGATGAGGTTGTCAGATGAATTCATATGCTTTGAAGAGCTTTGATGACTTTTTAATGAGATTTAAAAGCCGAAGGAATGGGATTGGGACCATAAAATCCATTAGTCTTCTTCACATTCTTTCTTTGAAGTGATTTAGTGCATTTGTGTGCTAGAAACCGAGATCTCATTTGGACCAAATCCTCCTCATTGCTAATATGTGGTCTGGAGAAGGTCTGGAGTACAAACCGTGTTCACTGGCGTAATGGCTCCCACGCTAAACACGTCAATCAGAAAAATCAGCATTACATACAAGAAGGTTTCAGACCTTTCCGGCATCTGTAAACTCTGATGAAGGAATTAAAGATGAAGTCTTAGTTCAGTCGAAAATATTTAGCAGGGATCTTTAGCTAGGGACTCATGAAGTATTCAACTTTGTAACTGGAAAAGTCACAGAAAACACTTGAACCCTTGTTTCTGGTACTATAATAGAACTCAGTTCTGATACAGATGCCAGGCAAAGAACTAAATAGCTTTTTCTCTAGCTCTTGAGAAAACTGAGATGTTGCATAGTTAATTGGATTTACTGAGGTCATGTGATCTGGTGTAGACAAGGCTTACAATCTGAGTACAATCTGAGTTCCAGTTTTAATTGTTTTTCCCTGACAGTTTTGTTACACTGGGTAAGATGAGTACTTTGGGCCAGTCTTTCATGTTTATAACGTATGAAGAAGACCTGGTGTGTGTCTTTCTGCCTTGTTTAAGTATGAAAAAGTTTGACATAAAATGTACTTTGAATATAGATAATCAATTCGGATATTAACTGTAAAATATTTTTATTTGATCATATAAGTAAGAACTTTATCAAAGTTATGATGTTTTGGTGGGTTAGCTGATGTGAGGAAAGTCTTACTAACCAGTGTCTGAGCTTGACCTTGAGATTTGATGTGGGCCACATTCATATATCAAACGTTCACATATCCTGGCATGTATGCAAAGCAGCATAGTCATGCCTGGTCATGGTTTAAAAGCCAGATGGAGAAAGTTTACAGTTAATGTCCTGTTGGAATAGATAAGGCAAAACCTTATGGCTTACTCTGAACAGTTCATTCGTCGTAGTTTCTCCTTAAGATTATTGTACACGATTGCCATCAGTTCTAGCTTTATATCTCTTTCTGTGATGGAGAAAATGTACCTGTCATACTTAAGAAAATCTGCTGTCTAAGAAATACCATGATGTTGAGCATCATGCTGGCCATGATGTTTACCAATCACAGTAGAATTTCCCAATAAGTTATCTGCAATGCAGTAGAAGACTATTAAAATAATGTTTTAAGCACCAAATACCTTTTTTGTTTGTTTTTTGGTTTTGATTTTATTGAGACAGGGCCTCTATATAGAGCCCTGGCTGTCATGGAATTTGCTGGTCTTGAACTCACAGAGATCCATCTGCTTCTACCTCCATATCTAGATTCAGATATCCATTTTTATTTCCAGTGCTGGGAATTTAACACAGGCTTCACACGTGCTAGCCCTGCGTGCTCTACCACTGAGCCACACCCATTCCCCTGGTACCTAAAACTCCCAGCAGTTACGCAGTCACACATTCAAAGTGCTTTCTAGCCCTCAGAACAGCCTGGGTTTCTATGGTGATTTCTAACTAATGGTGCTATATACATGACTTTATAAGCATGAAGGAAATTTCAAACATATTCAACAATACCAGCCCACACAGGAGTAGTGCTAAAGCTAGCATGAATGCAATGTGAGATTCACATCCTTTACTGGGTTCTAAGTACCTAACCATGTATTAAAGGATGATACCTTCTCAGCAACTATAAACCTTGCCCAACCTTTCTCAAGAAGGTTCTATGGACACTAAAATATAATTTCTATGCTCAGTTAAAATTACTGAAAGCTGTGGACGGAGCTCAAGGGCAGTGCATGGGCTTCACTTGTCCAAAGACCCTGTACTCAATTCCTAGCACTGGAAAATCAATGCTAGCATTTCAAAATGTTCTTACAGCTCAAGGTCATCAATGCATGTGTGATTAACTACCATGAGTGATTAAAGTAGATGCCAAGGGTGGGCTTTTACCAACTGCAAGGTAAAATAATATTAACACAAAGGCTGGCTATGTCTAATTATATCATTTCAGGGAAATACAGCTGTATATCTGAGCCCCATGTGGAAATAATGTTATTACCCTGTGACTTTTCTGATGAGCTTGGTCGGCTAAATTTTCATAACACTGTGAATTATGATTTGAGCAGATACATGATTTTAAGCTGGTATAGAAATTTCACAGTTCAATAAGCAGACTGACAGATACAGGGAAGACATTTTGCACATGAGGCTGGACAAGAGACTAACATATGTAAAATAGTCGGGGAGGGCTAAGTGTTGTTTTTTTTGGTTTTTCAAGGCAGGGTTTCTCTGTGTAGCCCTGGCTGTCCTGGAACTCACTCTGTAGACCAGGCTAGCCTCGAACTCAGAAATCCACTTGTCTCTGCTTCCCAAGTGCTGGAATTAAAGGCATGCGCCACCACCGCCCGGCAAGGGCTAAGTGTTATAGAGAGTTTTTAAATACACTGACATTTCAGCAAGAAACTTCTCCAAAATTGAAAGGAAGTCCGGGGAGAGGGAATAGTTTGATGCATGTGGGAGGGATCCTGTCTACAGAGGTTTACCAGGATATGCCCTAGGTGACAACCCACACAAAATATATCCCTGTGTGACATTTGATGGAGAGTGTCTCTGAAAACAGTTATCTCCAAGATATCTTTGCTTTCTCATAGAATGAAGACAAAGTCAGAGATGGTGTATCTGAGAAACTTCAAAAGGTGTAGACCTCCCGATTGAAGCATAACTGATTTGATTCATTTTTATTTATAATAGTAAGTATAACTGTGTTCAGTGCTGAGTGGGTCAGTGTTGGCTTGAAGTCTTTGTTGAGCAATCTACTCCTGTCAGAACTTTTTATCATTGCTTGAGCTGTTGTTTCTCCACGTATCAGTTTGAAATTTTAAATGACTCTCAAGAACTGTAGGGAATGAATAAGATCATAAACTCAGGCTGGAAATGCCCTTAGAGATATGATCCACTCTTATTTTCTATCACAAAATATCCCATTGTAATGTTCCTGGTGGGCAGTCATTTTATCCGTCGAGACCCAGATAGGACAGAGACCTGAAATTAGATGACTCTAGCCTTGCATGGTAGCATGTTTATAATCCTACCAGAAATCCAAGGTCAACCTTGGCTACATTATCAAATTTAAGCCAGCCTGGGCTACATGAGATCCTTCCTCCTCAAACATGTCCTCCTTTATAAACCTTCTACCCATCTATTTCTGCCACTGAGACAAACCCATGTGTTCCTTCATCCATGAGGTGCACGTTGCTACTTTTTTATATGGAGACACAAATATCCATTCACTCAGGTGAGGTACCTATAAATAATCCTGCTTGGTAAGCTAATGGGTTTGTTGGGGTTACTGACAGGAAGTCAGGCCACAAACCACAGAAGCTATGAGCTTGCAATGTTGTAAAAGTTCCCTCTCCTCCAGCCCCCTGACTCTCCATTCTCCCCATTCCAATTCCCATCTCCTCCCATGCCTTAAACTAGCACACCCCAAAACTGTGTAGCTCCAGGGAGGGGCAAGATTGGGAGTGGGAGATAGAATCTCAGCAGGGGGTCTGGAGAAACTCCCGATGCTTTCTGGAGGGAATGTTAACAGCCCCATTATCATTATCAGAGACCTAGTCACCTCTATACCACGAGTCTTATTTCATTACCGTGACGACACAGCCCGGCTATTCTGTTGGTTGCCACAGTAGTGTCTGATCGATGGCAGCCAATGTCATATCAGGCTCCAGAGTGCACAGAAATGTTCCCTTCTCTCCCTAATGACTGTCACCCCCTCCTCATGATCTTCCACAGGGGATGATTTGAGGTAACCACACCTGACCATTTTTTTTTTGTCCTGTTTCATCTTGAACTGAGTGTTATGTTCCAAGTAGAATCTAATTGCATAGGAACAGAACTGCTGGCCCCAAATTATCTGGGATCACAGTTAACATGACCAAAGGCTGGGTCATTATTAGAGCATAACTGTTATCACATGATTGACTCAAAGTGTGCACACTAGACTAAAATGCATAAAGGCATTTTTAATGTTATTTCACCCAGTAATGTTTTCTTTGATTCCTTTCTATTGAGTTCACAGTATTTTGTGACCAAATAACTAATAGAACATTCTGTTAGCGTGGTGTAATTCTCTCAGGACCAGGATGGAGAGCAAGATTAGCTGCAGTGAGGGGAAGACAGGATGGGAAGAGTTAGGGATCAGTCCTACTAAGCAAGAGGAAAGTACTGAAGCCCTGTCAAATTTTGTAGACAAGCGGAGGAAGTTGGATATATACAATACTATTCCCAGAGAAGTCCATTCTGGGATGTAAAATAAGGAATCGAGGGGTGTCTTAAGAAGTAGAAAAGCTGGCAAGAATATGTGTCAGATGGGCAGGACATGACAAGGATGTCAACACGGGAGAGAGTTGACCTGTAACAGCCTCCGTAACAGACTCCAGGGACTTAGCTTGCAGCACTCCTAGGACTCAAGGTTGGGTACCAGTCTCTACAGGAGAACCAAAGAGGCTTCTCTGGGATGCTCCCAGTGAAATGGTACCTAGAGAGTGATTAAGGCCCTGGGAAGGTGATGACTTACCACGCAGGAAGGCAAGAAAAAGCTCTTGGACACAGGGTGGATGTGCCCTGCCAGTTACTGTGATTTTCTTGCTGTTATCCAACCAAATGCCGTGCTAGATCCAAACGGTCCTTTGTAAGTAACACTCTGCTGTCTTACAGGTGATTTGGATCTTAGTAATTGGTGTCTCTAAACACAAATGGTGTAAGCAGTGCTGAGTTGGTGTTCTTGAGGACTTGATGCTTTTGAGATCTGACCCTTTTTCTTCTCACTTGGCCTCGGTCTCACCGCAATCACATAGTCTTGCAGGCTCAGTACAATCACATAACCTTGCTTGTCATCCTAGTCCCAAATGGTTACGTGGGATAAACAGGAAATTCTCTGTAGACCCCCAAGTGTCATGAACACACTAGAGGGGTTCACAGAAAACATAATTGATGAGTTCATTTATTTTAAAAGGTCTGAGTTCTTTTCTGTGTGAACAAAATAAAATATAACTTGTTTTCAAAGGTAAGAATAATCAACAAAGGGCACACATTGTGTGTCTCTTCACCTCTGCATTGTCCTGTTAAACACGAAGCCCCCTTGTTCTCTTCAGAGCTTCTCTTCATTCTTTTTTAAACTGTTGCTGTTGTTTCTGCCCTGGGTTTTTCACAGTCAAGTTACTTAGTGAAGGCCAGAGAGAAAGGGGAAATACATTCAGCGGCCATTTGCCTTATGAGGAATGGGTGGAGTCCTCCAAACCTGAGGGATACTTTTAGGAAGCAGAGCTTGCAGAGAAAGGCTCTTTGCAGGGGGTCAAAACAACACTTAGATGGTAAACAACACTCCAGACACAGGCTCTATCTGGAAAGGGGCTTCTTCAGGGTAGACAAGACACATAGTGTAAGCACAGCCTTGGAGTGAAGAACAACAGAAGGTTACCTGAAGAGCTGCCTCAGATCTGTCCCCAAAGCCCTTTATACATATGCCACCAAATGGTCCCCAAATAAGGGATTTTATAGTTCAGTGTGATTTAGGTTAGAGATAAAACCAGAAGCCGTACGAGCCCCGGGATCAGTCTGTGGATTTTTCCCATCTGCTGACATCTCACTGAGTAGGTAGAATAAGTGTGTCTGAGGAGCTTTCTCTTTAAATGCATGCACTCTGGCCCCTTGTGGTGGGGCATGCAGTGTGATCCCAGCAACTGGAAGGTGGAGACAGGAGGATCGGGAGCTTCAGGGGAAGCATCAGCCTCACCATGAGTCTGAAGCCAGGCTGAGCTACCCGAGGCCCCGTGTCTAAATACAAACACAACGGCATGTTGAATGGTTTCAGCAACCTCTCCTCCTCTCTTTTCTCCTCCAGTTTCTCCTCTCTACAAGGGAGTCATGATTACACTAACAGAGTTAAAATGCTTAGCGGATGCCCAGTCATCCTACCACATACTGAAGCCGTGGTGGGACGTCTTCTGGTATTACATCACCCTCATCATGCTGCTGGTGGCCGTGCTGGCTGGAGCCCTGCAGCTCACCCAGAGCAGGGTCCTGTGCTGTCTTCCCTGCAAGGTGGAATTCAACAATCAGTGCACCGTGCCTTTGGACCTCCTGAAAGCCAGCGAGAACGCGTCTTCTAACTCGGGCCTGCCATTCCCACTGCCGCTCCGCATCCAGAACGACCTGCACCGGCAGCAGTACTCCTACATTGACGCTGTCTGCTACGAGAAACAGCTCCATTGGTTCGCCAAGTTTTTCCCCTATTTGGTGCTTCTGCACACCCTCATCTTCGCAGCCTGCAGCAACTTCTGGCTTCACTACCCCAGTACCAGCTCCAGGCTGGAGCACTTTGTGTCCATCCTCCACAAGTGCTTCGATTCTCCGTGGACCACGCGCGCCCTGTCAGAAACAGTGGCCGAACAGTCAGTGAGGCCCCTGAAACTCTCCAAGTCCAAAACCTTGCTCTCAACCTCAGGGGGATCTGCTGACATTGACGCCAGCAAGCAGTCATTGCCCTACCCACAACCAGGCTTGGAGTCACCTGGCATAGAAAGCCCAACTTCTAGTGTCCTGGACAAGAAGGAGGGTGAACAAGCCAAAGCCATCTTTGAAAAAGTGAAGAGGTTTCGCCTGCATGTGGAGCAGAGGGACATCATTTACCGGGTGTACCTGAAACAGATAATTGTCAAAGTCATCCTGTTTGTCCTTATTATAACCTATGTCCCATACTTTCTCAGCTACATAACTCTAGAAATCGACTGTTCAATCGATGTGCAGGCATTTACAGGCTATAAGCGCTACCAGTGTGTCTACTCCTTGGCAGAAATCTTTAAGGTCCTGGCTTCATTTTATGTCATTCTGGTGATGCTTTATGGTCTCACGTCGACCTACAGCTTGTGGTGGATGCTGAGGAGTTCCTTGAAGCAGTACTCCTTTGAGGCCCTCAGAGAGAAAAGCAACTACAGCGATATCCCCGATGTCAAGAACGACTTTGCCTTCATCCTCCATCTGGCCGACCAGTACGATCCCCTGTACTCCAAGCGCTTCTCCATCTTCCTGTCGGAGGTCAGCGAGAACAAACTGAAACAGATCAACCTCAACAACGAGTGGACCGTGGAGAGACTGAAAAGCAAGCTTGTGAAAAACTCCCAGGACAAGGTCGAGCTGCATCTGTTCATGCTCAGTGGTCTTCCAGATAACGTCTTTGAGTTGACAGAGATGGAAGTGCTGAGCCTGGAGCTCATCCCCGAGGTCAAGCTGCCAGCTGCCGTCTCTCAGCTCATCAACCTCAGGGAGCTCCATGTATACCATTCGTCCCTGGTGGTCGATCACCCAGCCCTGGCCTTTCTAGAGGAGAACTTAAGAATCCTCCGCCTGAAATTTACTGAGATGGGGAAGATCCCACGCTGGGTGTTCCACCTGAAGAACCTCAAGGAACTGTACCTGTCGGGCTGCGTCCTCCCGGAGCAGCTGACTACTATGCACCTGGAGGGCTTCCAGGACTTGAAGAACCTGAGGACCCTCTACTTGAAGAGCAGCCTGTCCCGGATCCCTCAGGTGGTGACAGACCTGCTGCCCTCCCTGCAGAAGCTGTCTCTTGACAATGAGGGAAGCAAACTGGTTGTGTTGAACAACCTGAAGAAGATGGTCAACCTGAAAAGCCTGGAGCTCCTCAGCTGCGACCTGGAGCGCATCCCCCACTCCATTTTCAGCCTCAACAACCTGCATGAGCTGGACCTGAAGGAGAACAACCTCAAGACAGTAGAGGAGATCATCAGCTTCCAGCACCTCCCGAGCCTCTCTTGCCTGAAGCTCTGGCACAATAACATCGCTTACATCCCCGCGCAGATCGGAGCGCTGTCTAACCTGGAGCAGCTCTTCCTGGGTCACAACAACATCGAGAGTCTGCCCTTGCAACTTTTTCTATGCACCAAACTACACTACTTGGATCTAAGCTTTAACCATCTGACCTTCATTCCAGAGGAAATCCAGTACCTGACCAATCTGCAGTACTTTGCTGTGACCAACAATAACGTGAGTGAATCTGTTCTTCCTTCCGTCAGCCAGTGTGAGGTTACACTGCGCTTGAGGGGTGTTGTAACACAGGGAAATTGGTGGATGGGCGTCCATACTAAGCATTCTCCCAGCTGAGCCTCGTCCCCTGTGATCGTGATAAATTACCAAAGTCCTGAGTATCGGATTCTCATCTCACAGGTATCTGTGAACAAACAGCATCTCAATGAGTGTTCTGTTTATTCTCTTCTCCCATTTCCTGCATAAATATCACTACTAAAGTATTTAAACTTATTCATTAGTTGTAACAGAGCTGACTTTTGTAAGGGAAGATCTTGAGTATTTAGAAAGCTTTAGATAAGTAGAAAATTACCAAATTTTAGAAAATTTGATAAATTAGAAAACTTTGGGTAAATTTTTAATTTCACCAAAACTAACCCTTTAAACTGGTGGTTCTATGAACTATGCACAAATTCTTTTTGTAGCACAGTAAGACAAAAAAAGTACTTGCAGTCTGCATGTGAACCTTAAAAAGGCAATTCAAAATGAAAGGCCTGGTTCCATAATTTGAGGCTAGGGGCTTCCTGGAGTCTTATTCCAGCATCCACGTTTAAACACAAACAGTTAAGGAAGGGAGCTCATGTTGCCCTGTTAGAACGCAGAGACTCAGACATACAAGAAGTGTGCCCAGCCTGTGAGAAGTGGGAAATCCCTCAGAGCTTGAGGGTTACAATTACAGTAGGAGCAATAACGGCTAGTGGCATACATGAGAGTTCCCTGAAAAGCCTGTTAAAATACACACTGCATGTGCTGATATGCACACACATGTACACACGGGTACTAAACAGCCATTATGCTCTGTAGGGCATGATTAGGCAAACTAAGACCACTGATGCTTTTGATGCCAAGTTTATGGACTTCTTGGCCATGTCTGAAAGTGTTATCATGCACAAAGGAGGATACAGTACAGCACAGAAAAGTCTTAGCTTTCTAATAGGCCAAAGTAGAGTGATATAGCCTTGTGTGCCTTGTCTCTGAAACCCAAGCGGGCCTATCGCTAAGCACCCCAGGGAGAACATGATACCTGTAAATGGGTCAGGAACATTTCCCTCAGGGTGCAGAGTAAAGATCAAAGGGAGGGGGTGACCATTGAGGAGGACACTTCAGGGAGGTGGTTCCCCTTGGTCCCCCACTACACCCCATGTCCGTGCACACAGTAAACTCTAATCAAAGGTGGTGGGTCACAAAAGAGAGGTGTTAGGATGGCTCAGCTGGGAAGGGTGCTTTCCACCATACCTGGCAACCTGAGTGGGAGTCCAGGACCTTCATGGGGGAAGGAGAGAAAGACGACACTAGTATGGCTCACATGCACCCAGTCCCATAAATAACACACAGTAGATAGGCAGACAGACAGATGATGGATAGGTAGATAGATAGATAGATAGATAGATAGATAGATAGATAGATAGACAGACAAGATGGTAGACAGATAGACTCATGTTAGATGGTGGTTCAGAGGGAGGGAGAAAAGGTAAGAGACGAAGATAATGGGAGAGACTGTCATCAAAGAACAGAGTGTGTGCTAGGAATTATGAAAGAATGAGTAACTTTAAAAAAATATATTGTTGTTTAAAAAGAAACTAGTTTGTCCTGGCAGTGGGGAGTTAGGCAGGGGAAGACAGAGAGAGTATTCTTCAGTACTCCTGTTCAAATATTTGAACAAATTTTGGTGAATAGAACAGTTAGATAAGCCTTCTCATCTGGCCATACCATCCCCAGGAAAGTGAATGTTCATTTAACATGAAAAAGGCGCTGACTTGGGGCGGGACCCATCTAGACTGGTTTTCAGCCACTCAGTGGGATCATTAAGGAAAGGTGGGGGTTCACATTTCAGGTGGAGGTGCCAATATCAAAGTACCATCTAATCTTGACATTCTCATGGTTCTGCACGGGAAACTGAAATATTCATGAAAATTATAAATTAGACAGTCACAATGGGTGTATAATATGTACTGTAATATGAGTAAGATGCTACTTACTAAGAGGACAGTAAGCAGCACATAGCATCACTGGAAAGCAAAGTCTGCAAAACCAAACTGGGAAATAATCAACAAGAAAGAAAGGCAGGGCAAGGACCAGAGCCGAGATCAAGCACAGCAGTACAATGCTAACAGCGCTCTTACAACTGTGCTGGGCCTGGACACCATTCTAGAAACTACTGTAGTCCTTGCTCCCCACAGGAGAGGTTCTGTGTTGTTGTCATTTCTCTGAAACAGTGCCAGTCTCCAGTTCAAGTGTAAACACCAGATTCTCACTTCCTGAACACCGTTCTCTAGATACAGGGGACCTGGGGACACAAGAATAGGATAGTATCTGTTTCTCAAATGATCTGCTTTCCACCAAGCCATGAGTAGAGAGTTCCTAAGCCAGGGGAGTCCTCCAGGGGACAAGTGTTCATGGCAGAGCCCCCAGGACCCCTGCTCAGGAGGGTAAGAGGGTTTGCATGGAAAATAGCCAGTATGTCTTTTTGAATCAGTTTTCATCCCAGGATTCCTCAGTTCCCTTAACATGTAAATACACACTTTGCTTCTCCAAGAGGAGACTTGCTTTGCCACAAGAATTTGAGCAAGATACCTTTTTCTTAGGAACTTGTGGGAAGATCAAATGTTCCACAGAACATACCTTAATGACTAATGTAAAAATACAGAGATCATGTATGATACAGGCATGAAAGAGGCATGTTCAAAGAATTACATACAATTTTATAGAACTTCTTTTGAAAATAGGATCTCAAGTATTCCAGATTTACACTGTCAAGGGAGACCTCAAACTCTTATCTTCCTGCCTCTATGCAATGCTAGGATTACAGGCAGGCGGGCACCATCACACAACAGTTTACACATACCTAGAGATCGAACCCAGAGCATCAAGCATGCTACACAAGCACTCCAACACCAGAGGGACATCCCAGACCATGAATCATGTTTATAAAACATACTGTTCCAAGCCAAGTGTGTTTGGTGCTATGAACTTCAAGGTAAACTATTTTTTTAAATGTAAATAGTTTAGCTTAGGATAGAATTACTTAATTGTAGGGAAGGCTTGACTTCCTAACAGAGCTCCTTCTTAACTTAGGAACTTCCGGTTAGAATAGGTAAGTCAGGACAGTACATCTCAGCTGGGCACTGACCTTGACTGAGTTCCTTAGATGACACCTCGGTGACCCAGGTGCAGAGTCAGAGGGCCTGGAAGCCTCTGGCATTGTCCCATCTCTGACACTGTGCACTTCCTAGTGCCATCTCTCTCCTCTCTTGAGGGCCTTCAGCAGTCACACACACACACCACAAATTCAGAGTTGTGGGAGAAGATTAAGAATCTAGCAGCACAGGCAGAGTGGTTCAGGCTGTCCCTCAGGACGAGCACCTAGGGGAGAAATAAGTCCTTACACATTTGGGGCCACAGGGAGTTGAAGGAAGAAGGGGACTGAAATTCCCGGAGGCTGTGAGTGCTGGCATGCTTTCCTTGCCACTGGGGACACATGCATCCTTGGTGTGAAGCACTTCTCCAGACTGGAGGTGATTCTGCTCCTTCAGCAGACATTGGCTGAAGATAATTTGGGGTTGTTAAAACCAGGGAGAAGAGTGTTCTTGGCAGCTAGATATAAGGAAAGCTGCTAAGCATTACAGTGTACAGCCCCACAGCCAGAACTGTCCCTCCCAGATCAGAGGCTGTCTTCATGCAGGCTGCCTCAGACAAAAAAGCTGAGAGGCCCATGTGGTGCTCAGCACTTTATCCCCCACGCCTGGGCAGCTGGCACCCATGGAAGCCATTCAGTACATGTTCACGGAGTGCCAGGGAATCAAGCCTTCCCCGTTGTTAGCATGTCTCCCCTGTCCCAGCTGAATGTATCTAAGCAGGACCCAACTCTGAGCTACAAGGAGCTCTGGCAGGAACAGCTTTCAAAGCAGACGGTCTGTGCCTTTCTACTACGCCTGCCTCTTTCAGTGCTGAATCCACACAGTTATATCTGTGCCTAAGAAGAAATGAAGTTAGCATGTAGGTTTTCCTTGCTTGTGTCTTATCTCAGTGTGTACTGAAAATCAATATGGATGTTAGGCATAGCAGTGTGAACTTCAGATTTGTCTTCAACAGTAAGCAGGTCTAGGGGGGAAGGGAACATGTAGAAGAGGGGAGTTTTGAATGGAATGAGCATTTTAAATACAGTTTTTGAGATTTTGAATTTATGCGAAAAGCGTCCTTTTGAGGAGAACTCTCTCCTTCAGAGCTGGCTCAGTGGTTTTGCATTTGGCCATCAGAGGACACTGTAGGATCTCTTAGTGCCCTTCATCCATACACAACAACACTGCTTTCTGAACCAAAGGGCTAACAGTAGTCCCCACATTGTCACAAACTTGTATAGATGAGCTTTGTGGTCCATCCCAAGGCTGGAGCAGTGAGTAGACAGGATGAGATGTGCTCAGCATCTTCCTCGGTGGCCTCTGAGTGGTGAGCGCATTCCACTGCACACGTAGATGTCCTGTTCATCATGTAGGGGAGCATTCAGGGAGAGCTGCCCTCACGTTGACCTAGTTTGCAGGTTAGTTACCATATTTGACATTACTTCACAGTGCTACATGAATCCTGTCATAGATGTGAGGGATCAAGAAGAAGGACAGACTCTCAGAAGAGTGTGTCTGTGGAGATGACGTGTACATGTACATATTACCTTTCTCTTCTTCATCTCTGCCTTTGTTGACTACTGAAAAGAAGTTTTTGAGTTTCATTCTCTAAACAAAAGCAGCTTAGGACATTGCCTTGCCTGCCCTCAGGGGTTCTAAACATTGCTCATTGATTATAAGTTCTTTATGAAGACTCTGGAGGGTAATTTATTTCACATCCAGGACTCAGTAATTATGATTCTTTTGGTTACTGGCTTGTTTTCTTTAATCTGTAAGTGCTTTCTCTTTATGACTCTCATTAGGAGTGTTAGCAACTAAATTGTCTACTCTCACTCAGAAGGTGTGGATGTTCACAAGAGCATTGGTCATGGCTCCATTAAATTTACAAGCAATGTGGAGCTGCAGCCATGTTTTTGAAGAAAAGGAACAGGATGTGAGTATGTGAATGTGCTACCAGAGCCAGTCAAAACTGGTTTCACCTACTTCCTTTCTCCTTGCAGATCGAGATGCTACCAGATGGGCTGTTCCAGTGCAAGAAGCTTCAGTGTCTACTCTTGGGAAGGAATAGCCTAACAGATTTGTCCCCTCTGGTGGGGGAGCTTTCAAACCTCACCCACCTGGAACTCATTGGTAACTACCTGGAGACACTGCCTGTGGAGCTGGAAGGCTGTCAGTCCCTGAAACGGAGCTGTCTGATTGTCGAGGACAGTTTGCTCAATTCTCTTCCACTTCCTGTGACAGAACGTTTGCAGACTTGCTTAGACAAATGTTAACCTAACGATCAGACTTGAGGCGAAAGCGGTTCTAAAGCAAGGCCCCAGGAAAGAAGAATGAACTTTCCTATGTTATAAAGATGAGAGATGGTCTTGTTTATGATTATGAAACACCATAACCAAAAATCTTACCAAATAACCCAGTGTCTGAATCAAGCAGTAAAAAGATATCAACACCGGAGTTTTGTGAATAATTGTTGTTTAAATTATTGAGGTGTAAAAAGTGTACATTGAAAGTGGATTGAGAGGCATGCTGTCATGGAAACCTTATCTTTCAAGTCTTATCTTCAGGACTCCATTCCCCCCCCCTCAACTCATTACATATTTGCATACATGTTTTCATATGACCTTGTAATCTGATATTTAACTCCATGAAGACTCATCAGTATAAATCTCCTCAATGTATGCTTACCACTGGCTTAGATTTATGTTTTGTTTTTTAAGCAGCATGTATCACAGTGGGCAGAATTCCATCTTGGCTGACTTCTCTGCTCCTTTCTCTTTTTGCTGGAATCTTCATCTGGGTTTCTCTTATAGTCCTGGGATAGACCTACATTTGGCATTTGCCTAGAACAGGAGCCAGGGTTTCTAGGACATGTGATCTGCTGAGCATCCTAAAAATTAATGCATTCTCAAAATTTCTTCTTGTCTATCATCAAAGCCTTTTTTAAATATGTTAAGAATTTTTATATGAAATATAAAATATTTTTTACTGTATGATCTCAGATGCTATATCTGTGAGAACGTGGTTTTGTAAGCAGTGAACATGTGCATCTCTGTAAGAATTTTAATGATTCTTGGTTTGGGCTGACTATGATTCTCCTGTTTGTATGCATTCTGCTCCAAAAACTTTTGTACTCTTGCAATTAATTACTGCAACCAATTTGTATGACAAAAAGCCTTGTGTTTTTGCTCCCTAATGTCTTTGAGGGTTTTCTCATGAGAGGACAGGAGGGCTGCTGAATCACCTACCTCTCCTTGCTGTTGTCTAAGAGTACGGGTACAACCCCTCAATTACTTAAAATCTGGGACCAAGAGGAGAGGGCAAGATCTAGATTGGAAAATTGATTAGAAATTTAGTAAACATTAAATAAGATGTAGGTTTTTCCCCAATCTGCATGATCTCTCGATATGATGGAAGCTGTCTATTCAGAACCTAACTGAGCCCAGTAAACTAACATCCATCTCACAGCCTGCCTTGTGACCCCTGGGATATGTCATGCTCCCTTTGACAGAGAGCTTTGTGTTTGCCCTTTGTTATGCGTATTGCTGAATAAATAAAATGGACTGGCTCACACTGGGGAAGTGGACATTGTAGTCTGTTTTTCTAACATGGGTCTAGGCATTATGAACCCACCTCTTTTTGGACATAACTGTCAAATAATCGATTAACTGCATCTACAAAAAACCCTGGAAAACACTTCTAAAGAGTCCCCTAAACACAGAGCTGTGACATGTCGTTTTCTCCTGATTGTTCTAGAAAGATGAAAATGTCTCTCTTCTTAGCTGCCATATATGCCTGACGTTTAGAGAAGGGAATTACATGGAGGAGACCTGAGTAGAGTTAGTTACAAAGAATATCCCGAAGGCCCTAAGCTGCCTAACACACTATGGATAGACTAAAAGAGACATCTTAGCAAAGTTTGCCTTTGTTAGAATGTCTAAGTTCTCAGGGACCCAGGCATAACTGGCTCTCACTGGGGCCTCATGGGCAGGCCCTGGCTTAGCCAGGCTTTTCTTATTTTTACTGTTTTAATAATGTGAGTTGATGGTTGACATTTTCCAGTAAAATCATCATGTGGACCAATTCCAAAGTTGACTGTCATTGTCTGAAGTTTTAAATATAAATGTAAGCAAGGTTTCAGTACTATCAACCGTGCTTCATATGAACTAAAAAAAAAAACAAAAACAAATCCCATCCTAAGCAGTTCAGATTTCTAAGCCTCCCCTGATGAAGGAGAAATTCCCTGTGCCTTGTTTTCCAGTGTATGCATCTTTGGCTAACTGGTCTACCTCCTTGAAGCAGTTCCCTGGAAGGATCAATCCTAAGATATGAGTCGCTTTCAACATACAAGGCTCTTGTTACTGGTGGAAACCATATTGCTCTTGATACAACCTTCTAAAGTGTCTTTTGTATTTAACACTGGTACATCATTGTTGAGGTAGCTTTTAAATCTAACAATAAGACAATGGACAGCACATTTACTGCCTGACAGATGGAGATCTGTGTTAGCACTGGCTTTGGTAGCCTAAGTGTTGATAGTCATTTAACTGAAGAAAATGAATCTCCAAATTATCATGAGATTAAAGTCCCATAATAAGAATATATTTTCCAAAAACTAAGTGTAAAGGATCAAAAACAAAATTTTGGCCTATATTACAATAACATGGGTTCATTTGTATGCACACACAAATACAAAGAGAGATACACATGCCTCAGTTTTGCAAATTTTGGCTTCCAATATATTTTTTCCAAAAATTGCAAGAGGTTATAGCCTAAGTATAGCAATTTTTTAATTCATTATCTTTAATCATGAAGTATTCAATTTCCATAAAATCAACTCTAGTTTGAGAAGGTAGCATGTTCCCACAAAGGCAGACTTTTCCCCTTATGTACATCAGGGTAGATTTCTGCAGCATATTGACACTGAATTTTCATTTTAATCTTCTGTGTATTGCTATATTTCTGTTACTAGTAAACAGGTTAAATCAGGGTACATGAAATCATTGGGCTCTCAGTGATAATGGCAAGCTCTAATTTGTGTGCTAAAGTGGTTTATGCACATAACATCATTCATTGATCATGAAATGGTTCTGCTTGTGTTTCATAATTCTGATATGTTTAATTAAAACAGTGCATAATATTGATGGGTTCATTAAAATAGCCAACACTTAACTCTGTGGACTTGACACTATTTCCTTACACTTTCATTAAACCTTTCCATCTTTATAGTCATGTAGTACTGGTCCATCTGCACACTGTGTTCCTGCCCTCACCCACCTCACTGAATTTGATGGACACTGTGCAGTAGCAGTCTATTTGTGCTATAGCATTGGCAGTGACACCTGAGCTTGGTCATTCCTGTTTATAAGAATCCAGCTTCTGGTTTCTGTTCTCACTAACTTCATATTACATTAGAATATGAAAAATAAAAAAGACGAATTAGAAGAAGAAAGACTTATTTTGCATCATGAATGAAACATATATATATATATATATATGTATGTAGTATAAACAAGCAACTGCTGTAGAATGTCCTGTGTAATAGTCTCTCCTGTGTACCAGTGTACTGTGCTAAATCAGAGGAGGCTGCAAAACAGTTCCCTTCCTGTCTCTTGTCCACAGCTTCTATATCCAGTGACAAGTGTCTGCTATGTACCTTTTGCAATGGACTTTATAAACTGCATTCTCCAAACCTTTTTAAAAAAATATATGAACAATTTCATCAACACTGGAGTATTAACAGATTATATGAGTCAGAGTACTGAGTTAGGATGGCTTCTAGTTAAGCTTAATTTTCTAGTTAAGTTTTGAATTTACCACAAAATACACCGTAGCTGAGAAGAACAATTACGAATGCCTTCTGCATGTTCATCATTTCTAACTGACATGGTGCAATTTTTTTTAAATACAAAAGGGTATAGGGTTAGAATGGATGTGTCTGCACTCATATCTGTTGTGTGTTTGTCTTTATATTAATTAACACTGTACAGTAAGACTTAAAATTCTAAGTTTCATTCTAGGTAAAATGATGAGCCAGTGTTGGATGGAGATACTTTGTCCTGTTAGCTCCCAGTGGAGGCTGGCGTTGGCTCTTCTATCTTTCACTACATACTTGGAAGTGTATGTCTGGAATGGATTACTAGAGAATGTACGATTATGTTCCGTGTTTCTGGCCCCTGGATTCAAATCCCTACATCTGGTAGATTTGGATAAACTTTGCTGTTTTTAAAGTATCTTTTGTGTAAAAAGATTACATTTTTATAATAAATGGCAAATAAGATGAATCGCTAGAAACCGACTGGCCTTGTTTTTGCCTTGTTCTTTTTGCTCAGCTTCCCATGCCAGCTGTCAGCTCTCACGTGTCACACAGCTGTACTGTCATTTAATAACGTGATGTATTTTCATGCCTGCACGTAAATCTCAACTGTTGGGTTTTCTGAATATGCAGTAGTAGCCACAAAGTAGCAAGCCTCAGACTGAGGGTAGCGTGCATTGGCATATCCAAGGATTCGGTGAAGGACAGTCAGTGCCAAATCTCTGATGATGATTCAATCCACATTTCTTCTGGGAGTCTCAGGGTTAGATGCTCAAAACCAGCTCTGCTGCCTTCTCTTCTTGGCACCTGTCTGTGCTGTTAATAGCAGCACTGAGCAGTGTACCAGATAAATGAGGTCTAAGGGACTTCAAAACAGACACCTCTCAGGCTTAGCAACAAGAGAGAAAACGGAGTTACTATACAGAATAGGCACGTGAGAATTTGATGTTTGGAATCAAAAACTTTCCTAACTAAGCTGGTAAAGCACTTGCCATGAATGCATGAGGACCCAAGTGTGGGTTCCCAACATCCAAATAAAGTTGGATGTGGTAGTCCACAACTGTAATCCCATGCTCCTACAGCTAAATGGGAGGTAGAGGCAGGAGGATACCCAGAAGCTCAAGGGCCACCAATGCTTCTAACCTTCACACACAAGCTGTTGTGTGAGCACCTGCACTCACACACGTGAACACAAGCACACAAGCACAACCCTTTTCTCACTCTGTTACACAAGTGCATTCACACATACCAGAGCCTCAGTAGACACTGGGGCTCACTCTGTAGGAATATGTGAATCTTGAAACAGAGTACAAAGGAAAGTAGTCTGGATTGTAGGCTGCCTCTGATCTCTGGGCTCCTCTAGGTCTGTAGGAATGAAAAACAGTGTAGAATAGTAGTCATGGTTGCCTCATGCTTCCTGGGCCTTCTGGGAAGTGCTTAGGTGACTTGGAGCCAGCAGCCCTCAGAAGCCTGCAGTTCCTGAGTTCTTCATGGCAATGTTTGCTTCCTCTGTCCAGGATGGTGCCTCAAGAATTAGTCTCCGTCTACCATGTGTTGTCTCCTCAACCCTTGATGAACAAGCTTTTTGGTCTCTTGACACATAAGCCTGCACTGAGCTGACTCTCTTAAGAATTTAATGCTTCAGTTACACAGGCTTGTGGTAGTGCTCATTAGAGGGCTCAACACACACCATTTTTTACTCTTTACCTCCCTCTGCTGCTGAGAGGAGAGCAACTCAGAAGCTCTGTATAGTCAATGTGGCTCTAAGTTCTTCATTGGGGGAACATGCTATTCATGCTACCTGATCTAACAGAGTCTAACAGACTTCCCACTTTCTTTCAACCCTAAACCTCCCAGGTCATCCCCACCTCCTCACCACATTTTCACTGAGAAACCTCTTCTCTCCAATGCTCAAATTGCCCCATTATTATAAACCCTCCTAGTAATTCCTCTTCCAGAAGTTGTCAAAGTGGCATCTGTAAGACCAGGGGAAATGTTTCCCTATGATTTGACAATATGTACAAGTTTCTCACTCATGGACTAAGGTCCCCAACACCACATGTGTAAAATACCTACAAGGTTTTGAAGCAGCCCAAACTAGAGAGCGCTGTTGTGGGGTCTACTCTCTCATGCGTGGTGTGCTCCTTAAACCAATTTCCTGCTCAGATTTAGTTTCCCCTTGCCCTGGCCTTAGTCGCAGCCATTCCATCTCACATGAGATGCACAAAGAATGCACTATGTGGTGCTTCCTGGCACCAGGACAAGACTAGGTGTGAGCCCCGTGGGTCATGAAGAATTTGATGCCCAATTAAAAGAAGAAGAAGAAAGACATAGTTTGAATAGCTAACATAGATTTAGTAAAGATGGAGGGAAACTGGTCTTCTCTGAATAAAACTCACAGGTTTTGATGTCCACTGCCCTCTCAAATATGATTCTGCAGTAGGAACCAAGAGGTCAGTGGGGATTTGGAGGTCTAGGGAGAAAGAAATCTCACAGCTCAGTCTTTGTGTCATCCATACACCTGCCAGTAGCTAGACCTCTCCTCGTCTCTAAACTCTTCACCTTCTTGGCCCAGCCCCCTCCCTTCCCAGATCACATTCCTTCCAATAATACCCTCCTCTTCCCCTCGACACCCACTGCTGATCAGCCTCACCCCTCCTCTTCCCCTCGACACCCACTGCTGATCAGCCTCACCAGTGTTCCAAGCTTACATATCCTTACCCACACCTGAGTCCCATCTCCAAGAACATTAAGTAGATGCC